ACAAAGTTCCACTTTCAAACTCATCTAGAACAGTAGTTAAATTAACAAGGCGAATGTGCTTGTGTCTCGAAACTTTGGAAGTTGCTGCCAATATCATTTTCTCTAATCTCTAAAACTCCCAGTTATTTTGGTTTCTCTTGATATTGTGAGAGCAATAACGATTTCACTCTTTTCTTGGCTATTTATGATACGCCTTACAGCCATTTTCTTTGTGATTAATATGGTTTTGGTTTCTGGTCAACGTCAAAGCAACCGGAAAGGGTAGCTGCTTCAATTGAAGTACAGGCTCAAGTTCAATTCCTCTTTATCTGTTAAACTGGTGAAGTGGAATCAAAGCACAGATTGTTGCGTGTGGGACGGTGTAAAATGTGATGCCAGAGGGCGTGTTAATGATCTTGATTTGAGCAAGGAATGGATCATGGATGAAATTGACCACTCAAGCTGTCTCTGCAATCTCCAGCATCTCCAGAGTCTAAATTTGGGGTGTGGTTACTGCCCATTTGGCATATAACAGCTTCAGTTCGACATTTCCTTCGGTTGTGATAAACTTGGAAACCTAAGGCATCGTAATCCTTCCAATACTGGGTTCAAAGGGCAAATTCCACTTGAGATTTCAAGAATGACAAACTCGACTACTCTTAATTTATCTGTGAATTTCTTTCTTGTTGGAAAGGCATTTGAAACTTGACAAGCCAAATCTAGTTATCCTTGTTTGGAATCTCAAGGAGCTAATGCATCAAGATAGGGGTAACTATATCAGCACAGGTGAAGGAGTGGAGCCGGGCATTGTCAAATTATCTGCCTAACTTGCAAGTATTGAGCATGCCAAACCGTTTTCTTTCAGGCACCATAGATGCTTCCCTTTCCAAGCTGATTCGTTTGGATGGAAACAAGCTGTCTGCCCCATTTACAGAATTCACTTGACTTCTCCACAACTTGTTGTCACTAATTTGCATGGAAAAACAAAAACTAACATCGGATTGAAAGAAACCTAGATCCTACAATGCCGCAAAAGGGCCACTGCAAGAGCAAGACCTCATAGAACACAATCCCCGATCCTACTTAGACCTCTGTCTCATCTTTCAGCGCTTTCTCTTCAATCTTCTCATACACTTCTTCTTCCACTGCGAAAATCACCCAAGATCGAAACGAGGATACCAATGAGTTGACTCGACAACGAAAGAAACCCAATCAGATTAATACTGGGGGACAAAGGAAACAGTAAAGCTAAAACAGATAGAATTTTCTAAAGCATCGTGCTTGGCTAAAAGGTTTTACAGGTTGCCTTGGCTCTCATGGTTGAATTACGAGGGCTGCTGCTCTTTGTTTCTCAAGTAGCTCTTGAAACCCTAATTCAACACACAGATGCGAACCAACTAAAACAGGAGGGGCTTGCAGTTCCGCTTTATAGGCCCTGAAAAACCCTAACCCGTCCGATTTACTTCAATTTTTCTTGGGCTAGGTAACGTTAGTGGATAACTGTATCTTTGCTTCTTTTGGTGATCAAATTATTGTGGACTTGTGGCCCAAAAAAATTGTTTTGGGCTTGGGTTCACTCTCATGGTTGGCGGCTTGGTGTCACACTGATTTTAAACTAAACTAGTTCCCTTGATTATTTTTTATTTTTACAAACTGGACTGTTCTTAGGCCTGTGTAACCGGAGTCTTGGGGGTCCATATTATTGGAAATTGAGAACTCAAGCAACTTCTTCGATTTTTCATCTACAAATCTCAATCTAACGGATGTAGCCGGCTAGTCTTTAGGGCTTTCAAAAAAAAGTAGAAAAGAGAACCCAAGTTCAATAATTTCGAAAGACCAAACTGTTTAATAGTCAAAAGCTAAAAAGCTAAAAAGCTAAAAAGCC